ATAGTAAGCCCTTCTGAATCCACTTGACTCATTCAGCCAGCGGTGTGGTCATGCCAGAAACGCTGGCGAATCAATGTAGTATGCATATTGGTCGATTGCCAAATTTTAGTCGTCGATTACTTGATGTTTCAGTAATATATTTACGTTTTGACGTTTTACTATCTGTGGACGCTTTACAGGGCTAGTAGAGTTGAGTTCCTTAAAACATGTTGTAATAATGATTAATATTGAACTACAGCCATTGAAAATGACGCTTTTCAAAAATAAGTCATCAGTATCGATTTTTCAGTATGCCAAAAAGGGCTGTTATTTTTAGCCGAAAAAAGTGCTCATGAACATTGAGGCAATTGACTAAAAGAACCGTAACGGACATAGATATTCAGGTGTTCTAGTGCATCTTAGACGTTCCCCTTTACTCACAAAGACGTTTTAATTAGAACCAACCGGAGGAGGTAGGAATGAGAACCCATCAAAGATATGGTAACGTGACAAACGTTGACAAAGTTCATCACAAGACATCCTTAATTACTCTCGCCTTAAGCCGCTGTTTTTAAGGTCGAGACACCAACGAGTGTCGTGAGTTATTCTTGTGGTAGAATCTGCCGGTAAAGCGACATGGTAATGAACAATCAGCTACAATTCGAGGATAGGACGGTCTAATTATATTGGAATGCTAGCTCTGTTGCGCTTTTAAATTCACTCTGTGAGGTTTTTTCAATTGGCACCCGCAAGCGTTTGGCAAACTTCGAGATTGTCCCCTCTTTTCCTCGACATCTGCTTATTAATGCTACTCGATTCCGCCCTAATTGGTGAGTACAGCGGTGAGGGTTGCGAGACAGTTAGCAGTAAATTATCATTATAACACTTTGCAGCAGTGTACCAGAATGGCCTTGTTGTCCAAGGATCAACATTCATGTGTCAGTGGCCCTTTATAGCCAATATTTTGCATGTCGAAGACCATCCGAAGAGAGCGAATGTAAGGGGGTACAGTAAAAATTGGATTTGCATTACTCGACTTAGTTTAAGGAGGCGCATGTGTTTGAAAAAGCATGCAAATGTTTATATTGCTTTCTAAGGTGCTGAAACTATCATAGCAAAAAAGCATCTAGAACTCGGAAGTCAACGATTAGCTACGTCATAGGTGGCACGTCCCTTAGAAAAAATAAAAGCGTGTAGGACACGGAGGAAGGTGGGCCATGGAAAGATAGGTGTTTAGTCTGAGTTGTTAGTGGCATCGTAAGTTCACACAAGACAGCACAAAACTCTCTCACTGACACATTCAATGCATCTCTGCGATCTCGCTAACTCCTAACCTAATGAAGACATCTTTGGTCACAAAAAGCGCATCACCATTTTTGAATTGTATATCTGATTCATGTATAGCAGGAAAAACCCCATATATCAAATTCAAAAGTTCTGTCATTAGATAAATTTGTTACAGCATGGTGCGATTCACATTTCTTAAACGACAAACAGATGGATTATGAAAATTAGGTTGACTTTGAAGCTTACTAAAGATAGCTTCAAAAAATGTCTCGCAAATTCATGTGCTAGAATTGGATCGAAGTTCGACACAGGGTTTGATTTTGGTAAGAGGCGATGAAGCAAAACACAGACGTTAATAGATGACTTTGGAAAGAGAGCCTGCTTTTCCTGGTCGATAATTCATCCATTGATCAGCGGTTCGATCAATGACTGTTTTCTACTTAACAGTAACCTGCTTGTACGTTTACGTCACCAACATCACACTGTCCCTCCTCCCCTCCCCCCGCATTTTGGAGGACACTCGTGTACGCGTTGTGACATGTTCAGTTCATCCGACATTAATTAAAGGTACCGCCTGAAATCGTTCAGATATTTGCGATGCGATTAGGGTCTTGAACGTCCAAACCTATGATTCAGCTGTTAGAAGGATGTTTGGGTTCAAAGAGGCCGTGTAGCAAGTTTCATTCACAGTGTTCGTGCTGTAAGATTTGCCTCAATCATCACATGAGCAGAGCCAGCGCCTCTTTTGCTCAATATTCCAAATACAATGAAGTAGTCGCTACCCAGCAATTCACTGCTAGACGCTCTGAAATACGGTAGCAAGCCTAGAACTTTGGTTATCACATACGAGCAGCAATTGGTCTATGTTTTCAGGACGGTGAATTCATACATATTTTTTCTCTGCCGTCTAGAAAAAATACAGGAGGAGTTTTGTGGAATCAGATAGCTTTTTCTCTCATCCCAAGTATAGTAAATGTTGCCAAGACCGCAGACAACGGCGGTTCTTATTTTTAACTCATGAAGAACTGTCAAAGATGAAGGAATTGAATCGACGCGCATGAATTTGCAGGCCTTCTCATACATGTCACATCTTCAATCCCACATCCATCAGTCATTACCATCCGTCTAGAGCATCTGAGGGAAATAGTTAACCTTGCTCAATTTGAAATCTAACGCCTGCATTGTACCGTTGTCAAAGCAGCCGTGCTCAGCGTCACAGATTTTCCAGATACACGATAGATAGGAGACATTGTTGTTTTCAGTCTCGTTAAAACAATTTGCTATTGGTTAGCGTGTGAATCCTCAGTCTCATTTTCTTCGCAAATGAACGCTGTCATTGTCTCATCAGCAATAGAACGATTGAATATAATAATTTGCTTCATGATCGCTCATTATTCAATAAGTGCAGCTACGAATAGGCGTCGACGCACAACCATAACAAAATTTCATAGACGTTGGAACAACCGAGAAGTCAGTCGGATCTCTAGTGCGATTGAACCTTCTACTGCTGAATAGCCTTCATGTCTTGAGTGAACATTTGATCGAAGACAGTCGTCGAACGGGTTGCCAATAAGATTCATTTAGCTGTGCATTCGATTCGCCTGATGCATCGACTGACAGCGTGTGGAAACAGTCTCCTATGAAGTTGTTCGGAACACGGTCGAGAACACGTCAAGGGACCGCTTGACCATCGTCTTCGGATACGGTAGCTAGCGTCTGAGCATTATTCAATGAACGGGACGTTTTGTATCATTCGACAGTTCTATAAAACGCTGCCGTATAGCAGTTTATCGCTCATCTTACTGACCGATCTAAAAAATTTGTTGCTGTCATTTTGACGTTATCTTCTCTTGCTCGACACTTAGAATTTTTGCCCAAACTATTTCGAATTCCAGTTTTATCGTAAGCATGCCGATATACATGAATTTATGGTCTGAACTTTACGCGCGTCACAAATCGGACGATGGTGAAAAATTGTCTACCTCACCTTGCGAGTGCGAATGCTACGATTGTGGCTGAGACTCAAAGTTTAACTTGATTTAAGATTGATCCTTGCAATCAGCTGGTCCGCCAGTTTCACTTTCCAGCCTCATGTGATCTGTAGTTCAAATCAGCATGAGTGACTCTTAACTCAGACATAAATCTTGTTTCTGGAAGTCGTCCTTCCTTCAAACTTACTAGAACTTCGAGGTCCGATGTCTGAACGAATGCGTACATAAGCGTTTAATACACAGTGTGGAGCTTTTTGCCTCATACGGCTGCTCGTAGGAGAGCGCACTTCAGCGTGCTTAACCAAAACGATCAACCCCCTTGGTAATAGTAGCTTCGAATGTATAGTGCACTTTCTCAATAGGTGTTGAAACGCTAATTCACCCATTTTGCATTTTGTATGACAATTCAGAATTTCCGTTTATGCAGATGAAATAGTCACTTACCATCTACAGAGGACTATATCATGTGTTATGAATTAGAAGACGCTCAATATTTACCATTTTTCAGTCATAAATTTAACCTGTAGTTTATAATGTTAAACACATGATGAAGATTTCGAATATTCCCACCTCGCATAACAAAAACAGAATAGTTGAATAATCTCCTATTGAAATGAGCGCCTGGAAGTCGAAACAGGTAGAGATTATGCCCGTCCATTGCTGGCCGTTGATATCTGTTTGTGATTAAGATAAAGACCTAGCAAAGTGTTCCGGTTTTCTGAATTTGTTGGATTGAACCCAGGTTCAGACAACTGTTTATAAGGTGGTATCCAAAAGGACCGCCAAAAACTTACTTGCCAGACGTCACAATCATGGCTTCGGGACCAGGGAAGCTACCATCCGTTTTCCAAGTGATCCTCGCCCTAGTCGGGGACATGAGTTTCTGAGATCGCAAGGAATTTGAGGAATATGGCTCAGCTGTGCGTAAGACGTCATCTAGCTTGCCCTCTCCGTTCGCACGTTCCAGCAAGTGATACGGATCGCCCTCTTAT